CACACACACACACACACACACAGAGAGAGAGAGAGAGAGAGAGAGAGAGGGAGAGAGAGAGAGAGAGAGAGAGAGAGAGAGAGAGAGAGAGAGAGGGAGTCACATGAGGAGGGAACTCAGTTATATACCTGATTGAGGCTGTTGGGTTGCAGTGCTGATCACCGCTTGATACTTCAAATCTAAATTTGTATAATATGATCATTCATTGAAGTTTACTAAGCTTCGCTAATCTGGAATTCCCATATTGGGTCTCGGCGTGATTCTTCATGTGAACTCTCGTTGTCCATGGGTGATTAAGTGTGATTCTGAGCATATCGTTGCAATGGAAGGGAAATGATCATTAATTTAAGGGATAATTTGCAAAATACCCCCATAAGTTGAGATATGTGCCAAAATGCCCCTAAAAGATGTGGGTAGAGCAGAATGCCCCTCGGACAAAAAATATATTTTGTGAAATACCCCTGGCGTCGGTTAGACCCCCATCTTTGCAATATACCCCTACTGGGTACAGTCCAACTTTGCAAAATGCCCCAGTACTTGCCAACTTTTCCCAGGCGCTATTGCAAAGGCCAAGGCCCAAACGGGCTCCGTCCAGATTGCAAAGTTGCGCCCCCGCCTGACAGGGGCATAACACAAAGATTTCGGCCCAAAAGGGCATCCGCTCTACCCACATCTTTCAGGGGCATTTTGGCATATATCTCAACCTATAGGGGTATTTTGCAAATTATCCCTTATTTTAACCAAAAAAATAAGTGGTTAACAAATATTAGAAAACTAGCAAAATGCCCACCTCGGCTGGCATACTATTCTTTTCGTTTTTATAAGAAAATATAAAAAGATAAAACCCCATCAACACTACAGCTAATTTGTAATGACTCCTTCTGGATGACGACTCCTTCCTCTCAGGATATGGGGCCCCTCTCCCCTTCACAACATTCCGAATGTACCTGGATGGATCCTCCGTTACCCTTCACAACATTCCGAATGTACCTGGATCTGATAATGGTCAGCCAACTTGCAAAATGTTGGACGAGTCAAGACAAAAGGGCAGATGGCCGTGCACTTAACAAATTTGTCTCATGTAAGGGGTGTTCGTTTTTATTTTCAATGTAAGGGGTGTGTTCAACCATGTGAAAGCCAAAGAGAAAAGAAGAAGGGGGGGGGGGGGGGGGGGGGTGCAGAAAAAGAAAAAAAAACGAAGATGAGGCCCATGAGTCCAAAGTTCCCCAAACCCACTCATGCCTTGGCAGAACTGCCAGAAGACATTTATTCCTTGAGTTCTTTATTATTAATAGCATTGCAAAAAATCCTGTAATCACGGAGGAACTGAGAACATCCCATCTTTTTAAAATAAAATTATAACCCACTCACACACACACACACACACTGTGGCATACTGCGTAGCCACATGGGCCCTGCAGGGCCCGTCCCGCACTTTCAGCCTAAAAGCCTAAAACTTAGGGCTTACAGGCCCCGGTCGTTTCAGCCTGAAAGCTGAAAAACGAGGGCCTGCAGGCCCTACTCCGTTTTCAGCCTATTTCTGGGCCTTTCAGGCCCAGAGGCTTTTCAGCCTGAAACGGAGGGCCATTTTCAGGCCCTCATTGTGTTCGACCTACCTAAGACTCAGTCACAGAAACAGGGTTTCGGGAACAGGCCAGAAATAGCCTGTTCCCCACGCCAGCTCGAGCAGGAGCAGCAGCTGCAGCCCCTGCCTCCCCTTCGGCATTGGCAAGAGCAGCCTCCTGGACTGCTCGCCTGCAGTCAGGAGGCACACCCGGTAGTACATAGGATTGTCCCATGCATAGGATTGTCCCATGCACTTCACGGGTAGGTAGTTGTCAGTAGGCACGAGTAGTCTTCAGGATTCGGCCGCAGCACTCAGGAGGAGCGCTGCAGTAGTCTTCAGCGCTAGGCAGTAGTTAGCGCTAGTAGTAGTCTTCGGCGCTGGGCGCCCATAGCCATAGCTGTGGTCTTCAGCGCTGGGCGCTATGGTAGGTGGTAGATCGTAGAGTTGGGAAAGACACTGGCGGAGGCCAGTGGTACTTACCTGTGGCGCCATCGCTCCAGCTCCATCTGCGAGGTACCTGCATCAAGGCACCAACTTCACAGGTTAGTACTGGACACAGAGAGAGAGAGAGAGAGAGTTCTTCTTCTTCCTCTTCGAAGTCCACCATCTCTTCTCACCCTCTCGCCACCTGACTTCTCAGACTATGACAGAGAGAGACAGAGTTGTGACTTGAGACTTGACAACATTGGATCCAGACTTGACATTTGGGATTCAGACATTTCGACGAGGGACTATTTGGGCCTGTGCCGAAGACTTGGTGTTGACGACATTCCCATCTTCCCCCTCCTCTTCGTCTAACCCCCTTCTTCTTCCTCTGTGTATGGTAGGGGCTGGTGCAGTCTTCCTGTGTGAAGCGCCAGGCCCCATTCACACCGTGTAACGATGATGATGATGTATGTTCAGAGCTGCATTGCAATATTGATTGTCGGATCATTGGTATCTAAGTCTTCCGCTGTGCTATCTTATACTTTGTATTGAGAGGTCGGTTCTTGTTCTGGTCTGCAACATTACAGTATGCAACACACACACACACACACACACACACACACACACACACACACACTGTTACATGCCCAGTTGGGCAATGTATGTATAGCCAAGGATCCGCAATGTGATAAAAAGGACTGAATGGACAATGCTGTGTTAGTGGAATCTCAACAAGCAATGTACATCCTGATACATACAAAATGGCACCTTGTAGCGCAGTGGAGGACTTAGATATAAGCCCTGACCTGACTGGGACTGACCTCTCTCACGTAGTACAAGACAGTGCAGCGAAATGCTAGAATACCAATGACAAGCCCAATCAATGTCGCAATGCAGACCAAACATACATCATCCTCATCACAAGGTGTGAAGGGGCCCGGCGCTACACACAGGAAGAATGCGCCAGGTCCAGACCATACACAGACGAAGAGGAGGGGATCAGACGAAGAAGAGGGGGAAGATGGGAATCTCGTCAACACCAAGTCTTCGGTACAAGTCCCAGATAATCCCTCGTCAAATGTCTGAAGCCCAATCTCGAGTCTGGATCCAAATGTCACCAATCCCTCTCTCTCGTAGTCTACTGATGCAGTGAAGTCAGGTAGCGAGAGGGTGAGGGGGAGATGGTGGACTGAGAAGAGGAAGAAGAAGAACTCT